GTATGCCTCCTTGGTGTTGGCATAAAATAAATCCAGTGTTTTATTGTCTCTGGTGTGGCAGGAAACATACTGGGTGAAGGTGGGATGGGTGGTGGATGGACAGGTGTGGTTGAAGTCCCCAGAGATCAGAAGGAGGGCCTGAGGGTGCTGTGTTTGCAGCCTACTTGTAACAGAGTGGAGAATGTCACAAGCAGACTCAGCTTTAGCAGACGGGGGGGACATACACTGCTACCATTATGACATGAGAAAACTCCTTGGGTAGATAATATGGTCTCATGCCAACAGCCAGCAGCTCAATGTCCCTGCAGCAATGCTGTTCCTCGATAGTGATGTGCCCAGAGTTACACCATCTATCATTCACAACACAGCCAGCCCTCCTCCTTTCCTCTTACTGCTGACCGCTGTCCTGTCGTGTCGAATCCGTCCAGCGCGGCAATCGTGTCCGGTACTTCCGCGTTCAGGCCGGGCCGCACCGCGGTGTGACGTAGCTAACAGCTGGTCCCGGGTGTAAACAATGGAGCCACTGCTGGGCACCAGGTCCCTGCACACGATCAAGTCCGTGGAAAAATAGGAGAAAGACCGCTATGAAGAGAGCGGCCTTCATCTCCATACCAAAACAAAACTTAAGTGCTAGCTAGCTAACTGAAAAAAACTCCAAATAAGAAAGTTAAGCGAAAAAGAAATTGAAAAAAAGCTCAGCGGTGAGCAGGAGCTGCTGTAACAGGCATACGCACTGGGGGCACCATCTTGCCCAAAGATGGAGCACTTTGAATGGTAGCGTACCGGTCTAGAACACTGACAGCAGAAGAAAGGAACTACAAGCTACATTCTGGCAAGTTGACACATCCTGGTGAGGAACCTAACACCCAGAGGTGGTCCTGGGAAGCTGCGTAGCTATTGGGAGGACAGGGGAAGGAGAGGCCATGACAGCCCAGTGTATGTAGTTGAACCATTGCAAGGAACAGCAGGAAAACGAGTGTTACAGTTGATGGTGATGTTAAAGCACTTCTACTAGTATGAAAAACACATGTTACTGCTAGTCAACAAACAGGCAATCTGAGCATTTATTTGAATAGGAATAAGCACAGAGATGGGTTGCTATCTAAACACTTGATTTAAGTTAAGGCAGTAGTGTGTACACTTATTTAGATAAGATGCATGGCATAGAGAGATGTGGAAACATAGTGTTGAGTATATGTGGTAGTTTCCTTGTCCTTTTTTGAGGATTGGGGAGCCCACCAATGCTTCACCCTTCTATACATATGGACTATGGGCATTTAGTGCTGTATTACTGCCATGAGAGTTTATGAAAAAGAGGGAGAAACAGACACTGACAAGAGATAGCAACAAGAGATATATATACTTTATTAATTTTTTCACTCTTTTTGTCATTAACACACAGGTCCGAAAGCCACACACATGCACAAACAGGACCTATACATGCACAAAGTGGAGAGATGTCAGAGTGAGGGGGTTCGGTGCCTTGCTCAAGGGCACCTCGGCAGTGCCCAGGAGGTGAACTGGCACCTCTCCAGCCACCAGTCCACGCTCCATATTTGGTCCGGACGGGGACTCGAACAGGCGACCCTCCGGTTCCCAACCCAAGTCCCTAATCACTGAGCTACTGCCTAATAATAAATTGATGTGTTGAAATACTCACCTGTTCATTTATTATGTATATATATTTTATAGTCCAAGTCATAAGATAGAAAAGAAAATATTAGGCAATGTCTTTTTTCTAGTGGGGAGGGTGTTGCGCACCTGTTGGAGGTGAGCTGTTTGCAAAGGTGCAGTAAGAGCCTCTTGTCTGCATGTCTTCATCAACATCTCACTGTGGCTGATTCTCCTTGTACTCTTCCTCCTGGCAGTATTATTACACTTGTCTTAATTGAAAAAACATATTAAACATATTTTAATTCCTATAGCCTTAAAAATAAAAGTCCCTCTTTGTTTTGTTATGTAAAACTTTTATTGTGAAGCTGCAAAATAAGGAAATGTTGAGTTTTCGAGCAGCAACTTCACACAACTTCTAATACGGCTGATAGCGAACTTAAACAGTGAAATAAAGCAGATATCTAAAGTAAAAACAGGACACAGGAGAAAAAATAAACTCCAAACCACAGAGATTCAGTTAGATGCTACAAAAGTCCTAAGAGCACTATGTAGAGCTGAATACACAGAGACTTTATGAAACGCCTTTCTCTCTGGTCTCCTGCAGACAGAGGTGAGGAGAGTGTCACAACACACAGACCACCGCTACCTGCTTGAGTGCGGGTGGCCCGGCTTTTGGACCTATTCCAGAGAAGCTTGGCGTGGCACCGGGCGTCAACATGGCTTGACTGGACGCGGCTAAATGTTACAGAGGAAAAGGCCCACAGTATTGTACATGTGCTACTGTGGTAACTTCATTCATCTCACAGACTGATTTAGTGTAGCTTGAGCAACATATTGACCGATGTCACACTGTAGAGTAATTAATAGACAGATTAAACAGAGGAGCAGCTCTGTGTCTCTCTGAGTGTTGCTAGAGAACCTGTGAGTGAGTGAGGGGGCAGAGCTGTGCGGACAGAATGAGAGAGGAGAGATGAACACCGGTATGCGTTATGTGACACAACTTGACCCTATGTCAATATAGTAACAGTATTGTCTAAATCTATATCTTGCTTGAAAATATATTAGAATATTGTAAAAAATCGATATACCGCCCAGCCCTAATACTGACCATGGAATACTGGCCCTAAATATGTTGGTACTAGGCTGGCGCCATGCACGACCTACCATAAAGTAGCCAGTTGTCTATAAGTGTCCTCCAGAGTGTATGCAGGCTGTTTCCTGACCCAGAGATCAGAATTCACATTGCAGTCACTATATTTGCTACACCCATCTACAGACACTTTGGTTGCTCTTTTGAATGTTGGAGAGCTAACATAGTAGGTGTAGAGGATTTGAAAAGAAAAAAAGGGGCCTCAAACCTTTTCCATTATTTTACTCCTGATAAATGTAGTATTTGCAGTAAATCATAGGCTAAGTCACTTGATAAGAAATAAGAAGTGCATATTGTATTATACACACTACGTCACTCTGTCCAGATGAGTGTGTGTTTATGTATCCACAGGGTCTCACACCAAAGATAGATTCTCTGGCATCAGAAGAGATCTGTTGTCTGCAGCAGCAGAACAGCATCCTGCGGGCTGTGGTTAACCAGATGAGGAAGGACATGGAGGGTCTCACCCATCCCCAGGCCCAGCCACAAGCCTCCTCTCCTCAGACAGTTCAGCATTCAGAAGCCCCTGCAGCTAAAACTCAGATGGCCACTGGATTACCAACCCAATCAACTGACATCTCCTTCAAAGTCAGTGCACCAGGTGCGGACAGCACTCTGTTACACAAACATGACTGATGATTTTATCCAGGAAATTTTAGTGAATTTATTACTGTGTATGCTGTGGCAAGCTATGCTCAGCTTTGTATAGTTTAGCTCCAAGGGCCAGATCACAAAGATAGACTTTGACTTTTATTTAGATCAAACTGATAGTCAGACTTCAGATAGACCTCTAAATTAATCCATTGTAGTACATTCTAGTACAGTACGTCATGTATAATCCATGTATTTGGGAAGGCTGCCATCACATGATCAATGTGTTGATGTGAGTTAAGATCAAAGAAGGATATGTATAAAAAACATGCTACATGGATATTATTTCATGCGACTTTGAAAATACTGCTTACATTTGTTCACATTGACCAAATCAGGGCATGCCAGAATTATCAGTGTGTCTGAGAATACCCTGAGGCTTCCAGGTTTTAATGGTATTGAGTACTGGGATGTCATCAAGGCCAGTAGCCTTATGTGCATTATTCTGGCTCAGTGCAGCAAAGACACACTGGTGGGGAGGAGTTTGAGAAGCTGATGGTCTGCCGGCAGCACAACTTGATGTCTGCCTGCTGTCAGTGCATGCATAGAGACAGCTGAGCTCATCAAGGAAGGAGGCATGGCTGATTGAGGTGGTGTTGCCAGAGGGTTGTAGTCCATGATGTCCTGGCTGCGCTGCCACATCCGTTGAGGGTAAGAGTTGTTGTTGAAGTGCTCCTCCATCCTCAGCAGTGTCTTAGCTGTGCATCTCTTCTGCTATTTCTGGGCGACAGGTGCTCTGCAAACACTTTGTTAAAAATCTTTGGTAACACTTTATATTACTGTAATAAGCGCTAATTAATGCTTAATAAGCACAAATTAACTGTTAATGAGCACCTATAAGACGTATAAGATGCTTATTAACATTAATAAGACTAGATTAAGTGTTTATTACAGCATAACTGACTGAGTTATTATTGCATATAGGAGCATTATAAGCACTTAATAGAAACTTTGGTAACAGTTTATAAACCTGTACTAAATATTAATAAGATGTGTATTTACATTAATTATATTTTATAAGGGTTAATTATAGAATAATAACCACATTTATTACTGGTTTATAAGACACTATAAGACCCTATAAGATGAAATTAATAAGGTGTTTATTAACATTAATGAGACTATAAGAAGTTAATATAAATGCCATATTACAGTTAATAGATGCTTAATTATGCACTTATTAATAGTAAATAATGATCCTTTGCAGCTACCGGATCTAAAGTGGGAACAGTGTCGTATAAAGGTTAATAAATTATTAATATGCACTTATTAAGAGCTCGTAATGCATCTTTGCAGCTACTGGATCTAAAGTGGGAACAGTGTCTTGTTGACATTCATAAACTCTTTATTATGCACTCACTGAAGTTAATAATTCTATTAATTATGCACATATTGCAACATCCAGATATCAATCATTATTTCAACATTAAAGAATTCTGATGCGTTCTTTTCACTCTAGTATGTTATTATTTTCTTTAGCAAAGGATCATGGGAATCTCATTTCCTCAAAATGGCATACTAAGACAAACATGAGTTATTTGAACTTAAACATTTGAGCAGATTGATTCAGAGTTAGCTGCTTTATTCACTCGTGATGAGAATTCAGCCTACCAATGATGGTGAAAACACAACATAAGGACATATTTCCTTTTCATATTGATTTTTAATGCAACCACTATTGTCAAAAACAGAAAAAAAAGGATTGGAAACCTTAATAGTTGAGTTCTAAAAAAATGACAGATCTGAGTTCATTTGGCTTTTTCAAAAGTTTTGTTACTTAGATTGACTGTTCATGAATGCAGTGCTTCACAAAGCTCCCTGTAACCCATCACTTTTCTGAAAGTGAGTGACAAAAGTCTCAACATCGGCCAGGCCAAAGGTGGCCAGGTCAGTGATGTCTTCAGGCCAGTTGCTTAGGTCAAACATGGTGGCAGTGGCTTTCAAGACACTCTCATCAAGGTTGCCCAACTGCGTGGTGAGGTTGTCTGAGTTTATCGTTCACTTTGTGGAAGTCATCATCATCCACTTGTTTCCTGTTGAGTTTTACACCAGAGAAGGTGTTTCCGGGAAAAGGTCCCACTTCATCCAGGAATTGCTTCAGATGCTGACCTGGGACTGTCTGAAATACAGAAGAAAAAAAAAATTATTGTCACGATTGCTAAACATACACCATAGCATATTAATTCCTCTCTAGGGAGTTTATTTTGTTTACTTGCATGGGTACAAGAGCCAGGGTCGTCTTCTGCAGTCCATCTGACACCATCTGCAATGTCAGCCCATCCCTCTGAAAGAGAAGGCTCAGAATTAAACCCATAAACACACTTAATCTAACTTCCCTTGTTTTTAATCCACGGCGTAGTACTGAATTACTCTCACAATGGTTTCACAAGAGTGATAATAAAACACTTACACACTGAGCCTGATACAAACTTCAATTGCCAAAATGTATGAAATGCTCCTTTAACCTTACTGACGGAGAGGAATGAAGTCAGGCTATGGCGTTAGCAAATCAGCAGGAGTTAGCATGAAAATGACGAAGCCTATATCCATTAGCCTGGTCAACATAACACACAGCTCATCGATGCTCCTGACACATTCACTCTGCTCATCCTGCTTCACACAATTTACTGTCACTCTTGTATCTCAACCATATGCATCTTCACGCACATTTCACTCACTTTAGCTCACACAGAACGTCATTAGCGACGCACTTAGCTACCGAAGGTATTTCTAGCGGCACCCTCCATGAGCTGCAACACACACACACACACACACACACACACACACACACTCTTAATCGCGGTCAATGTCTCTACAATCACTTAATCGCGGTCAATGTCTCTGAGTGTCACAGTTACACACTAAGGTTCTGCTAACACATACTACTGTTATCTGGGTGTTCATTATGCTCAGCTTACCTGCAGGAAATTTAGAAACATGACTGGCTGCTAGTTCAAGTATGACCTTCATCTCTGTAGCTAAAGTTGCTCGCCTAATTAATACTGACTGAATGAACCGAGTGCACCTCTTCTGATTAACTGTAACGTTACCGTCATTATCATAAACATCAAGTGTCAAGTGTCGCATCCTACTCCAACTGGAGCGGCACTGGAGGAGCTTGCATCAGTTTTTTCAACCATCTCAGCATTGCTAGGTTCTGTGCTCTGATGTGGAGTGACGAGCAAAAAGAAAAAAAAAAAGTGGAGTGGTGAGCATAGCTGGCGAGTTATGGCAAGCCGTTTTAACATTTAATCACTAAGTCCGACTATCTGGAATTACCATTTTAGATATCTATAACGTCATTTTGACTAGTAGTAATGTCATTGTGACTAGTATGAATTTTAATTTAAGATATCTGTAACGTCATTTTGACTAGTCAAAACAGAATGACAGATGTCTGTAACGTCATTCTGACTAGTCAAAACTGAATTACAGATATCTGTAACGTCATTTTGACTAGTCAAAACTGAATTACAGATATCTATGACGTCATTCTGACTAGTCAAAACTGAATTACAGATATCTATAATGTCATTCTGACTAGTCAAAACTACAGTTACAGATATCTGTAATTCAGTTTTGACTAGTAAGATTCAAACTATTTTTGCCATTCATGTGTATGGGGTTTGTCATTATAGATATCTACAATTACATTATGACTATCTATAATTCCAGTTTGAGATATCTACAACGTCATTTTGACTAGTCATAATTCAGTTGTAGATATCTACAAC